TCATGTTGTTGTTGTATTAACTTCAGGGCCCGTGGGATTAGTCGTGGTGCGCGCAAGCTGGCCCGGACACCCACGTTAATCTAAAAAAAAAAAAAATTCATGTTGTAATTAATCATCTAGGTGGTGGTGGCCAAGTGGTAAGAATTTGGGATCAAGAAGTTTGCTCTATCTGTGGTTTCAGGTTCGAGTTCTTGGTTGCTCATATGATGCCCACTGGAGGTTTACATGGTCGTTAACTTCAGGGCCTGTTAAAATTAAGAAAAATTAAAATAAACTAGTCTTAAACTTCTATAAAATAAGTTATTTATTAGAATATAAAATCTAAATTGATAAATTATGAGAGAAAAATAATATATAACAACAAAAAAAACAGTGAAGAAAAGTGTGTATGTTATGGCCTGTTGAAATTGTCTTATGAAAATAGAAATTGTATCATGTGTCTTATGAAAATAGAAATTGTATCATGTGTCTTATGAAAATAGAAATTGTATCATGTGTCTTATGAAAATAGAAATTGTATCATGTGAGAATAATTATGAAAAATAATTATTTTTATCATATAAATAACTTATAAAAACAAGTTGTATCAGCATCACACTTAAAAAACTGGCATTGTACTAACTAGTAATAAGAAAGATAAGTATTCATAGTAAAATAAGTGGACATATACTCACCATTGGCAGGATAAGTAAACTCCCATACCTACAATTTGTGTGCCCTTATTGATACCTCTACAACAATGGAGAGTTTATTTATTTTTGTATTTTAAAAGTATTTTTTAAAAAAATTATTTTTTATTTACTTTAAATTAATATGTTTTTAGTGTTTTTAAATTATTTTGATATATTGATATCAAAAATAATTTTTAAAACATAAAAAAAATTATTTTTATATAATTTTAATATATAAAATTATTTAAAAAATAATTATAACCATACTACCAAATAAACTAAACTTTTAAGTGATTATTGTGTATCCAGCGGATGGTTGCATGGCATGTACTAAGAAGTTATGTGTCCATATTTTTTGCAAAATAAATGTGACAAATGTCTGGGCAATGAGAGCACATGCATAACAATATATTTTTATTATTTTCTCCTTTCTTTTCTCCCTCTCAACCTTGCATGTGGTTTGGTCAAGTAAATTAGAGGACTAAAGTGGAGAGTTATTGAAGAATGAAGGGCTGAAATGAAGGAAGAAAGGAAAATTTAGCTGGCACATGTAGATTGTCTTATGTAGTGTAGTTATATTTGTCTCTGTGTCAGTGAACTCTTTATAATAATATGGCGCAAATTGCCATCGGAGCTTTGATAAGCTCTGATTCGTTTTCTCTTTTCTCGCTTTTTTTACTCTTTTCCTCGCTGGATTTTATGCTTGCCTTCGTTTTTTGCTTTCCAGTCTTCTCTTTTCCAATTTGTTGTTCGGGCTCTGTTTTACTATAGCTAGCCTGAACACTGTTCAGGCTTCTTCTTTTAAAATTACGGTGTAGTTCCCAACTTTTTGACCGGACAGCACTCTAGGCTTTGGGCCTTTTGGCCCAGATAAAGACTTCCTTTCAGGCTTTTAAGAACTCCCTCCAGCCTCCAGTGTAACTTCACAGAGAACCTTGCATTCTACGAGTGATACAAGTGCAGATTATCATGAGTGTCAGGAGTACTCAAGGAAACACATAGAACAGCCCTCACATAAGATTCTGAAAACATTTTTCGTACGAAAGGTTCATTCCATGAATGTGAAAGATCATGGAAAAGCTAGGAAACCCGATGAACATCAGCTAGAGCGTCAGATTTGATGGAAAGAAGAAAAGGATATTGTGAAGGAATCTAAGGATTAGATAGGTAGGTGATAGCACATTCTTGACCAATTCTCCATCTAATTCCACATCGTAAAATATATTTTCCCGTTGGAATACTTTTCCTAGCCCGTGATGAAGAAGAGGAACTAGCAGCATGCAGGAAATTATAGAAATGGGAGAAGGGACCATGGCATAGCTGCCTCTGACCATGCTTCACTGACAGCTAGATTGAAGGCTTCCAAGTATCAAAAACCCAGGCCACCTAACCTTTTCTTTTCACATAAATCTAACCAGCTAATCTAGTGAATCTTTCGTTCATCCCCTTTTCAGCCCTGCCAGAACTTATATATGAGATAATTGATCTCCTTGCAAATCCCTTTAGGAAATTCTAAACATCTCATAAAATATGCAGGAATATAGGAATAGCTAGAAGCAACAGATTTGATAAATGTCTCTCGACCCATATCAGAAGTGTTAGAAATTTGTTTCAAAAAATATAGTTAATGGACACAAATTAATACAAATTAAAAGTGAAAAGTGACATCCATTCACTTTTTAGGTTAACATTTTATTAAAAAAATATTTTTCAATAAAAATACTGTAACTTGAATATTAATATGTATAAAATAAATTATAATTTAATGACAAATTGAACTCGTTAACATGCTCGATAAACTCAAAAACCTTCAATGATTATAAGATTTCCTTATAGATTATACAATGGAAAGTAAAAGACTTCAAATTAATCTCATAGAACATGGGGAAGACCCTAAACTAAGTGGACTTTAGGTTTAAGTTGCACACATACTCAACACTACTTAGACTTGAGGCTTAGGCTTGGTATTCATAAACAGTTTGAATATTATTATTTCTTTTTTTAAATGGTTTATTTTTAAAGGAGAAAATAACTTTTAGGTCTATAAAAAAATATTTTTTTGTAAACTCATAAGTAAACAGTTTGAATATTATTATTTCTCTTTTTAAATGGTTTATTTTTAAAGGAGAAATATCTTGTTTTTATAATAAAAAATTGTTAGAATTTAATTTTTATTATGAGTATTAAAAGCATAATAGTTAGAATTATTTCTATTAATTATCAAAATTAATTATGCGTCAATTTTGATAAGTATAAAATGGGCTTAAATGGAAGAAGTTTGAATACCATGTAATAACCTTTTTGCCTTCCGATCCTTTATTTCTTTCAGCATTTTCATGCTCTGATTTTCTTTAATCATTCTAGAACTTAAATTCAAGTTTTTCATAGAGAGATTTTTTTAGTATTTCTTTCTAGTTTGTAGAATTTGATTTGTAGTGCAATTAATCATGGTAATGGTGTTAAAATTCTAGAAAACTTATTGCAATCAACTCATTTATACCAAATAACAAGCTATAAAGTTTTAAGAACAAAGGTTACAACCATTGACAACAACATAATATACATTTCTTTTAAATTTTAAGTGCTTCAACAAGTATACTAAATAATTTATTCAAGATATTTTATATACAATTAATTAATCTATGTCTTGTCTATAAAGCTATCGTTGTAATCTTTAAACTTGTAAAGTTATTCTATATTTTTTATGTTTGTGCTTATATATATTTCGATAACTTCATTATGTCACTTAGTACTAATCTAATCTTTAGTCTTTATATTATACAAATTACATTTACTTAAACCAATTATCAACATAACAATATGATTTTTATGAAATAAAGAAGATTGTGTTACATAGCGTAAGAGAAAAAATATATATTCTTGTGAAGAAGATGATTCCTCACCTTGGAGTTCAAGATTATTTAGATAGCTTTGAACTTATGTGAATGTATCCATATAAGGATATGATGGTCAATGTACTAGCAGTCTATAGTTTTGGACTCCATAAAGAAAAAGACTCCGAGTAACAATTGACTTCTATAAAGGTTTTTTAGGGTTTGTAAGATCAATCTTTAAAGTAGACATGACCACAGATATGCCTTCTTATAATACATGTAGTAGATTGAATATGCAAAGAGGGCAATGCATCTAGGGTAGTGATTGGCTTGGGGGTGCATCTACTCATTGAAGGTCTTGTTAGGCTCTATAAACATCTTGTGTCCTAAATGATTAAGATTATACGGACTAGTTAGGCCATCAAGACTTTGACGATCTCATCCTAGCCTTGTCTTGAGAAATAGTACATGGACCATATGATCGAGGGTATAGACCCCCGAGCCATCAGCCACCCCCTTCCCTAGTCTTGATGGTTTGTCTAACAGCCATTCCTTGTTTCACAACAAAGGTGAAGTGCTTCTCATAGCACTCTTTTACCCTGTTCGTGTATGGTTGGGGTGATCCTTGTGAGGCTTTAAACGTGCATCACCCAATCATTATTTATTAACCTTTCAATTATCTTATTGTCTTGCTTGTCTAGGTGTTTCATTATAATGGTTTGCCTAGTGTTGTGACCACGTGATGGGGCTCAAGCCTAGAAGCCTAGGGGTTGGCTTATGAGCACGCAAAGGACTGTTGCCTTTACAAGGCCACGTGAGAGAAGAACGCCGAGAGGTGGTGCCAATATAAGGCCAAGAGGAAGCCACTTTCCACCATTTCCTCACTCTCTCTCTCTCTCTCTCTCTCTCTCTCGGCGATTTCTAGTTCACACTAATTTTTATCTTCAATTTTATCGTAGTACTACTATCTGTATTGAAGAGGTCAACTTAGCTGAGTCATTTGTCATTGTCGGGGTTAGGAAATACAGACGCCCTGATAACTGGAAAAAACATCCTCTAATAAAATACGGTGCATGAAAATTACAGTGAGCTATGATGAGCTGCGAACAAACTATTCCTGGCGGGTTCTTTCTACCGTACAGCAAAATGGTTCAGGAGTGGTCAAATTGCACAGCATGATGCAACAGGCAAGAGGAAAAGCAAGAAAAGGACGCTATTATCTTGATTTCAGACACTGGCAATAACAAATGAAAAACCATTAACCACGGATATGCCTTGCGTGGCAAAGCAAGCCATTTTCCCGTTCATTAGAGGGCTATGAAAATTAGAATAAAATAAAATCAGCAAAACGCGAACCAGAAAAGACTCCAAAAAAGACCTAATGGTTTTGCAAATCTTTAATTCTCAAACGTTCTTTTGTTCTTGATCAGTTACAAATGGGCACCTCGATCATAATATTTGCAGCCATGAGTAATTGAAATAAAATCTACCCACGAATTCATTATTGGCCGTATAATGTGATCCAAAATTACATTTGATATTCCCCCATTGGGAAAACCATGTATTACAAGATATACAACCTAACATAATCAAGAAGCAGGGGAATAATATGCAATATACACCATTCATGTTATAAAAAACATATATATTAGTGGAGTGCAGGATTTTATATACCCAAAACACTAACATGACTGTCTCAAGTCACAGCTCACTCAATTTTCTCGATCACTTCCAACCTGGTTTTTCTCTTCCAACCTTTCATTGCAGCAACGAGATTGATCAACCCAACAATTTGATTTTTAGTGTATTCCTGCGAGGAAAAGTGTAGTTGTATTATTAAAAGATAGGTTGAAATAGGTGTTGAGCATGTTAAGAACAATAAAACAATTCCTCGGTTCCAGTGCAGAATTTTCTTACCGGGTGAGCACGAGCCCAGTGTACATACTCGGTTTCTGGAAGGTAGTAGGCCTGTACGGGTCGAGAGAATGAAAATTCCAATTAATAATCTTGATAGTGAAAATGTTCACCAGGCATTTCTAAGTGAAACGAGTATCCAAGAACCCAGGAAGATGGGTTGACCAAGCAAGCCTCAAGGCTCAAAGATCACTACTAATCATTTCTCCTCCAATATCTTCACATGTTTTTAAGAAATTGTCTCATTGAACACGCTAATTCTTACCTTAATGAAAGTTTCAACCATTTGTAATTTTGGCTTAACATTTATGGGGACAAAATGCTGGAGGCCATTGATCAAAACCTGAAAGGAATTTAGATAGCACTTAAATTATCAATTCTTGAGAGGTGCAAAAGGAGCTAGAGGCAAAATGGAAATCTTGAAAAATATAAATTCCTGTTGGAGTTTTGAAAGAACCTGAAGATCTAATGACATAAGAGCTCGTCCTTCATCACTACACCTCTTCACCCGTGATAGACCTTCTATGAGGGTTTCAGCGACGATTTCAACACCATATTCTGAAAGACGGTCTTGTGCCTATGAAGATAGAAATATAGTTTAGACTAGTTTGTTGTTCAAGTTTTGGGACATGAGAAACATGTTTATTAGTACAAAATTAGAACAGAATCATAACCAGGCAGGCGGAAGCTATTAGCAAAATAATATAAATGAAGATATTATTGGATTACGAGAAGAAAATAATACAGAAGTCCTCCGAGACAAGATGTAGAAAAGTACAGAGGAAGAAAGCAAAAACATAAAAAAACAAAAAAGAAAGTACGGTAGTCCCACAAAATAATTGCTCTAAAGACACCCCTCTAACTGCCCCTAAAGTAGAAGACTGAAGTCAAAATAATTGCTCTAAAGACACCCTCTGAAGATCTAACTGCCCCTAAAGTAGAAGACTGAAGACCACAAGTAGATTATTCTATCCCTCATCTGTTGCCTTGGAAAGAGTAGTACTGAAATGTTTTTTGAACTGCTCTTCATTCATACATTTCAACTCACAGCAAACATTCGTGAAGTTCACATTAAACATCCATGACTTGCATGCTTTTCATTTTTAGATATTTAGATATTTGTTTCCTCCTTGGTATAATCACAGGATTTTTAGAGCAAAATAATACAACAAAATTATGCCATTTATGATGAGGTAAGGCCAATGATTGGGAGGATTGTTAACCAAGTGTTTACTACTAGTAAATTAGCCAGCCTAAGAAACCCATTTATTTATCGGCATATGTGCACATACAAATTTATTCAAAGTGCTCGTGTATTATCCAGAATGTAAAACATCAACATCTTTTACAAAATGATGAGCATCAAGTTGTAAATTCTGTATTCAAAATTTTACAAAATGCTGCTCCTCCTGAGATGTGAACCAGCCATTACCTCTTTGTGAATTCCACCATGTGCAAGCCTCGTTTTATAGTGCTTAAACTCTCCCAAAAGTAAATCAACATACCTGTCAATATAACTCGAATGGGAGGGATTATAAAGTGATAGCAGTATATTCTGATGGATAATTGTTGTAAAAATATGCTCAGTACCTATTAAAGAATTGTAAGAGATATCATGTAGTCCACAAATATCTAGTTCCATTAATTAACATGGGTCAAGCTAAAGTGGGGGGAGGGGGTGTCACAGAGGACATAGCACAGGAAGCAAGGACCAAGGTCATGACCAAAAAAAGCTCCAAAGTAACGTTTTATTATCATACAAAAACTTCACCCTAAGCCAACCAGAGTAGGTGAGCAGGCCAGTGAATCAAAAACTTCAATTAATAGCACAGAATGCAGTACAAATATTATTAAAAAAAAAAAGAGGAAAATTGTAAGAAGTATATTTTTTTTAACATGATTAGAAAATGTTGCAAGCTAACTTACCTTTGATTTATGAAATTAACACACTCAACACACAGTTTTAATGGAAAAATTACAAAAGAGATAGATGATATCTAGGTCATTAAAAGCATGGAAGTTACAACATGCTCGAACAATATAAACAAGCATATAATTATAGTAAAAAAGGAGAGGATGAAACATACCCATTATGCTCTAGACCAAGCTCTTTTACTTCCCACTTAGCATTAGCTATCCGATCAACATACCTGCTAAAAAGTGCTTTGCATCAAAGATGGTAGCAATGAACCAAACAAGATTTTTGACTGAAAGGTAATGAAGAATCCAGTGGAATCTTGAGTTTTGATTGTATTTTGCTTGGGAAACTGATCATCTGGTATACAAGCAGGCATACAAAACCAGCAAGTTGAAGGTTTCTTAAGCATGCAGTGAAATCAAGATTAGTTGTTTTATCTAGGTACAGTTACCAGGATGTCTTCAACCTGACAAATAACTAACATTTTTTGTAAACAATCCCTATCACAGATAAAGCGATTAAAATCTGCATTTGCTTCATGTTTTCACAGCTCACCCATTTGATGCTGCAAGTCCTCCTATAGCTGAGTTTATTAAAGTCAGAATTTTGTTGTCTCAAATCCGGTTAAAGAAATTTGCTTTGTTTGAGTTTCAAGACTACAGCTTCCATTTCTGATTATGAACGTTTTATCTAATTACCAAATATATTAAATATGATAGTTATGCCAACTTCTCCCAGCTGAAACTTTCATGCCCCGTAAATAGGTTTTCTTTGCACATTATCCTGCATCATGCTTCACTTGTCTCCAAAATTTGACTCATGATCCATTCACAAGCTGTGATTTTTATTTAAGTGGAAGCAGGCTGTTTCCATTTTATGTTATTTTCAAGTTTCAAGTGCTAGTAAGGTTGCTTGTATTATTGTTATTTGACTTCATTTGATATAGGAATTAACTTGCCATTAAAAAGGCTGCTCTAAAGAACCTTTGAGCAGTTGACACAGATTAGCAGTTCCATCAAATGTATCTTAAATAAACATAAAAGTCACAAGTTATCATCCGCAACGAGAAATGCTGTTGGAAATGGCTTTGGGCATCCAATAGGGCTTCATTAAAATTATTCAGCTCATTAATCCACAAGAACATCCGATGATTTAATTAATACAGAAGGGTTCGATCAACATTATTCAGTTCTAAACTTACCCGTTAATGTGAAGAAGTAATCTTGCAGTGGTCCGGTGTAAGTGCTCTATAACATCTGGTACAGAGTCCACCTGATAAAAAAAATAACTTACTTGTCAATATAAAAGGAATGAAAATATCTATTTCTAAATTAAGGACCGAAATAAGAACATAGTTCATGTAAAAACCATATAAAAAAAACAACTTATAAGGAAAGATTACCCCTGAAGTTTAGTAAACAGGTATATATGATTGTCCAAACTTTGTCATAGGACAACTTCACTTATTAGAGGGTTGAATAGATGAAAAGAGAATAGAAAGAGCATGCCTATTCAAGTAACGGGCAAGTTTTATGGTAAGAAATGAAGGTTATTGGGGGGCGATCAAGTCCTCCCTCTCTCTTAACCAACAACAATCTCAAAATTTAGATGCTTCCACTCAACCATCATTCATTTCCTTTTCATTGACCTAACCCAATACAACCTAGCAACTGGAACCATCTGAACGTGGTGCACACATGGATAAATAAGTAAACTCCCAGGCTCTAGTATTCAATTGCAAAATTAATTTACTTTCTGAAATTCAGATGGTTTTCCAGCTATATTAGAACATGGAATAATACCCAGACAAACATATTTCATACTAGCATCCTTTTCTCCTACAGCATATAATAATGTCAAAATATATGATTCCGAATATCCAATTTAACAGCTCATTAATACAGTATCAAAATAATTTTCGAAAGATTTCAAAAAATTATGGCTAATAAAAATGCTCAAAAATACAGAAACAAGGAAATATACCACAAGGACAAAAAAGTCTTCCACTATAGCTGGATTATTCTGAAGAAGCATTGACTGAAGATGGGTTTTAGATCTGTGTAATATTTGAGCAACAAGAGATATGGTATCAGCAGCAGCACATCTTTCCTGCAACACAATTATCTATTACTGTAGGCATACTGATTACAGAACAGCTCTTTTGTAAATCCAAACAACCAAATTTAGCTGATAGCAATTAAGAGTTTTTAATAATCAAGAAGCCACTGCACATTCATTGTAGCTATATATGTATTCATACACATGCATCATATGACAACCCATTGTGATGCAAGATCTGCCTTTGATAATTTTGTTCTACAAGACTGAATCATAATGTGATAAGTTTCCATGTACAGGACAGCATGATAATGAAAGTGACAATAATGGCCAGGGCACATCCAGGAGAGTCAAAACTCCAATAAACTTGCCAAACATTTTACAACACTAATTTCTTAATATATATGAGCTCAACCTTCTCAGCAGGGAAAAATGCTGCCAGTGCCAAGGCCAGAACAAAAGATCCTTTTTCTTAGAGAAAATAAATGTGTCCTGTGTAACAGAGGTGGATGATTCTCCTTATGTACGGATGGGGGGGGAAATGCACTGATTTGCTTTCTACAATCAACGGCATATCATGAATACCTAACAAGTTATAATTGGCTATTGCATGACCCTACTTCAGTGAACATCATGAACAGTTATTATCTTTATCCTGGTCTCTATGCACTTCAAAGTCAAAACAGTTGCACTGGGAAGGGCACACTCTCAATGTCTACTTTGATGTAGGAAGAGAGAAGAATTAGAAGGAGAGAAGAAAAAAAGAGTCAAAATCAAACAACGAACGTTAGGTTACACAATGACCGACGGGTAGTTCACAAATGATATCCATACCAATATCACAGACCTCATTACTATTAATCTTGATTTTTTTATTTTTTTTATTTATGCGAACTTAGTTTTAAGTGTACCATGCTAAATTGCTAAAAAAAAAATTTATTTTTCAGAACTTCTTAGTTTCAGGTGTACTAAGCTAAATTGTTAAATTATTATCATATAAATGAGATAAGCAAGAAAGTATTTTTCATGAAATTAAGAAATTAGTTATTTAAATTTTAGTATTAGTATTTATCTTTTCTAGTGAAATTACAATACTAAGAGCATGTTTGGCTGTCTATTTTTCTAACTTTTATACTTTACTTTAAAAGAAAACAATAAAAAAGTGTTTGATTAGGATTTTAAAAATCAATTGCTTAACTTTTGAGAGTGGAAGGCTAATTTCATAAAAAAAACATGTTAAATATATATAAGCTTCCACTTCAAAAAGCATGCGAAGTGATCATTTTGAAATGTAAGGCTGATTATTTTATTTAAAAAACTAAAATAACCTTAAATATTTTAGAATTAACGAACCCAAATCATTTTTGCTTTATATATAGTAATTAACTAATATTAATTACAAAGTTAATAACCTTAAATATATTAAAATTAACTAATCTTAATTATTTTATTCCAAGTATGTTAGTTTTTAGCTATAATTAAATTATTTGACTATCATGTTTACTAAAAAAAACCATGTAAGGTTTTTATTATTGTTTCTTTTAAACTTGCTTTTATATGATATTTGTGTTTTTTAAAAAAAGAATTCATTTCTTAAGCAATTCATTTAGTTTTTGAAAGAAAATGTTTAATTTTAGTTGTCCTTAATGGTAATTTAATTTAAGTGATTTTACAAACAACACAACATAACAATTCATTACCAAACAACTTGATGTGTTTCATCAATTATCCCAGCACAGCAGAGGTCAAACAGAATCTAATACTAGCATGAATGCCAATATAACCAATGAACCACGATCACAAACAAAATTGCAACTGTGATTCTAAACCAAGGAAGACAAAGTGCAAGATAACAGAAGGAGATGATGCAGGACCACTTAGGGGCAGTTCTGGAGATGACTTTTAAAGGCTGTTCAGGGTTGTGTATAGAGGTTTGAATAGTAATTTTAGGAGATTTTAGGCAAAATCTTTCACGTGTAAATGTTATAGGGTTGATTAGGTATGCATGAGAGGTTGTTTGGTCTATTGATGAGATGTTTTCAGGTTAGATTGATGGGGTTTTCTTGGAAATTGTAGAAACTATTCACACTAATAGGTTTCTGAGTCACACCTAAAGGATAGAAATACCTAAGCTTCACACCGATGGTTCTTAAAAGGTGAGAGATTGAGTCACACAATCAAAAGCAAATTGCTAGAATTTTATTCATCAAATGTTATTAAAATATTGAAAGATCCATTATATAGGTTGATATAGTACTCAAGGGCCAACATGGACTTATTTTCTATTAAGAAAATACTTATTATCTATTTAGAATAGGAAAAAACTAATAAAGGTAATTACTTTAGAACTAGTAGAATATAACGTAACGAACAAAAACTAAACTAAGACAATTTTCCAGATTTCCCAGCAGATCAGGATGTTACAGATATAACCGTGCCACAAAAGAACATTAGTTTTGCTTCTTTTGATATCTCCATCAGGGAAAACCAACTGAAGAAGAACTATAGGGATGGAAAACAATCTATTTATCTATTTATTGTCAGTCCCCTGATAATCAAAAAATGGCTCTTGAAACATAAGAAATAGAAGCTTTTATATAATACAACCATAATTGAATTATTAAATAGAAAACCCAAACCCAACACTACTAAATAAGAAACAGAATGCTTTTGATAAAAACTACTCGACAGAAAATATATAAAAAAAGAGGCCCGAAACAGTAAAATTTATAATTAACTGTCAATAAAAAAATTATTGAAATTAAATTTAGAAGTCTTTCATGGTTCTCCATCATCATTTCTTTGAGAAACAAAATTTTGATTAATTCAAGTAAACTCTTGTCTTGTGTTGGTGGCACACAATGGATTGGAAAATATTTCTCTATTAAGAAAAAATTTACTTTTGCAAAATTATTCTTGCATAAATACCTTGAGACCAAAGGATGTGGAATGATTTGGAGGACTAGCCGGTGTTACATCTCCATGCATATATGTACTCAAAGACGTAGGGGATGAGGATGAAACAGGGGTCAGCTGAGGCTTTATCCATTGGTCACAATCTTGTGTAATTCTGGATATAGCAGTCTTCAGCCGATCTGTGTACCACAGACATGAATTATGGGTACTTAGTTCAAAATAGTAGCAGCTGATTAGGGGTGAAGGAGCATATCAGAATTGATCAACATGGGACAGGATGGAATTTTGGAGGAAAAAAGGAACCCTTACAATTGAGAGGGTCAGATTTTCCATTTGAATTAGAGTTCTGCTGACCAAATGTTTCAAACACAGAATAGAAGAAAATCTCAAACAACTGGCATATACCCTGCAAAACTATACTGAATCAGGAAAAACAATTTAGAGGGGAAAAAAACTATAGATTTTTTAAGTTAAATATATAGAAGACAAAAAAACAAGAAATGTAGACAGTATAACATACCTTAAAAAACTCAACATTTACTATTTCTAGTTTCTGCATGAACCTTGCATATTTGTCCATTGATCTAACATGCACAAATAAACACAGCTCAATAAAGCACAATTATGTATAGTTGCAGATTATAATATCCACGTACAAATAGTTATCAGTTAACAGCACAAAATGGCTTTGCACCTGAGAAGACAGAGAGATGATCCTGTCTGTGCAGATATCTCATCATCTTTACAATGTGAAAAGTTACTTTTAGGAACTTTTGGTTTTGAAATTCGACTTGGGAGTTGACTGTCCTCATCAATGAAGTCTGCAAGAAGATCTTCATTTTCATCTTCTGAAAAAGGAGTTCCATTTTTATGACTTGCACCACCACTATGGGGAGACGCCTGATCACCGTGATAACTATCATTAGCATGTCCATCATATTCACCAGCAGTTGCCCCATTAAGCAGGGATGAACTGTGGCCTTCCACTGAAGTGGAGATTATTTTTGGCGAAAATGGATTTCCACTTTTAATCCAAGAGGTAAATCCACTCTTTTTGATAGTGGCATCAATGGAATTCACTGATTTGTTAGAATGATGCAATTTTACATTTGAAGAGATACCGTGAGATGGAACTATCAGGGCAGCCCCATTGCCAACAAGTCCAGCAAAACTAATTGATTGGACTGTATCTGGTGGCAATTTCAGCCAACTTTCCTTTTCCAAAACCATTTTGAGTGCCTGAAAAAGTTTTAAAAAAAAATTATATTGTTTTTCCAAGTATTAGATATTCAGAATTTAGATAAGAAATTTTATTAGAATCACATAAAAGCAAGTTATGTTAATGTGACAGGACAATAAATAAGAAACAAATTGAATTTATTGACTAATAAACTTTACTTCAAAGGGGGGTAATAAAGCTCTGAAGGTAAATGTATCATGCACCTAACAGAGCAGGGATATGAGCAAAGAAAACTAAAATTGTAAAACAAACTAACCCTGGCAACAACTTACATGAATATTTTGCCGATGAAATGCAAGAAAATAGTTTTCGCATACAGCCTTCAACTTCTGTCTGAACTCAACTGCTTCAACTCCACAGAAGGCTTCCCCGGCCAAGATGAATACATTCAAATCTTCGTAATTTTTCAAGAATTGGTGTGTGCTCATAGAGCTAATAGCTGCAGAAGAAAGCAACACTGATACTCGGCTTGTTGTAAGCTGCCAAAGATTCTTTCGCCCTCGCTGAAGAGTTTGTGAAACAAATGCTGTTGCATCTTTTCGCAGATGATACCAAGGAGATCCACTTCTTGATGCTTCACTGCCATTACTTCTAGTTTCATCTGCATCAAAATTGGAATCTAAATACATGTAAGTTGTTGTAGATTCCTCGGTAGGAGATGAATCAAGCATTCTATCTAAAGATTCACGGGGAGATCCATTGCTTCCTAAGGAATCCTGCTTCATGTCAGATGTTTGGTATGCCAAATCCTGAAAACCAATGAACAAGTTTTGAGGATAAATGAGAGAAACAAACACGTGAACAGAAGAAACAACTGACATTGCAGAACCAATGTTATTTATAACACTACATAAGAAATACAAAAAATACCTTCTGACTAAAATAGATTCAAGGGTGGAAAAACTTGTCTCTGGTAATCATGGAAGCTTTCCAGCTCACACTGCTTTTATTATCCCCGTGATTTCGATTAACAGGAAAAAAAAAGGTTTAAGAGGCTAAAGGTTGTTGTAAAAGATCTACATTTAAATTGTTTAGCTTCATTTCATGTAAGAATTCTAGGTTTTCCGGAATTAATGCGCCTCATCTATGATTGGTAATAATGTCTCCATAAAATGTGTAGTCAAAATGAGAAAACAAAACCAAAATTTACTATTACTATAAAAAAAACTAAAAAAGAAGGCACTAGATGCAGAAACAACGCACAAATGATTAACAGTCCAATATGATCCATTAAATTAAGTGACAATCAACAACCGTTACACTTCTAGTTTAGAAACATATTTAAGCAACCATCCAAAGTTTACAAACAAAAAAATGGATAAAGGATAGAAAGGGAAAGAAAGCTTTAGGATACTCAATTTAACCATCAATGTTTGCAAGCCCTGACCTTGTTGTGGAGAGGACTGAAAACATCCCATAAAAGTAAAGAAAAGGAAAAAAAAAAATTAAACTGGGCATATAAAGAATATAGTCTGACCTTGTGCTCCAGCCGGAAGTTCATTATTTCATGATAGGAACTAATCAACCTGAATAAGACTGCTAATGTTCTCAACAAACACTGCCTGAACTTAGATTCAGGTATCTGAAGGCTTAGATCGCTGTAGGTAAGTCTGGAATGAAATGCACAAAAATATTATGTAACATATAAAAATAATTGAGTTATGATGGATTCAATACAGAAACAGTTAAAGTGAAAAGAAAGTACCTACTGTTCTGCATCTGTATTTCCAGATCCTGCATAAGTTAATCAGTTAACTGAGTAAAGATTACCTTATGAAGATAGTTGACATTAATTTCCATGGAGGACTATGAAAGGAAAGAAATTTTGAAGGGGAAAACCCTTTGAAGAAGTTGAGATTTTAAACAACCTCAACGCATGCATCAATATGCATGTAGGTGCAGAGAGAGATTTTGGACTTGAAATTCATAACTGGGCTATCTATATCTTGCCCACTACTGATTATCTGAAACTAATTTCACTTATAAAATCATGCTCCATCTGACCCAGAGAAATTGTCATATTCGACTTTTCACACATATTAATAATGTTATTAATTGATATTCCATATCAATAATTTTATCCATAATTTCTAAAGACCCCCTTTCCAATTGTAGTAGGTCTCCTGTAAAATGAGCTTTGATTAGGAGCACTGTAGGAAAATATGTGAGTCTCCTGTAAAATGAGCTGTGATTAGGAGCACTGTAGGAAAATATGTGACTTAATATTTCGACCAAACAATCATTTTGGGACAAACAAAAATATAAAGGCAGACAATTTCTTTGGAACAGAGGGAGTAATTGGTTGTATGTACCTCCTGCACAGTATTCTTCAACACAGAGTGGGTTTCTGATAAAACTTCCTGCATATAGAAGCTTTGCAACTTTTCAGCAAGACCAGAGATATCTCCAATTAAAGCATATGCATCAACTACCTGTACAAATTGTAGCAATCTATCATTTGAATCTTCAATTTTGCACACTGCAAGTGGTTCTACTGATTCTTCAAGTTCAGTTTGCCAAGATAACATACTTCGAGTCTCTGACTACTCATTTCTATTATTCATAAAATAAGGGGGATTGTGAGAAAATGTAAAACAACACGAACCTAATACAAGGGTGAGGAGAGAAAACAGAAGTTTTTTTTTTTAATACTACCAATCCACAATTTTGTTGCAAAAGTGTTGCTTGTTTGGGTGCACATGAGCTGATTCAAAACTCAAATACTAAAGTATGGTAACAAGAGAATAAAATGTTAACCAAAAAGAGGAGGAAAAGAACATGGTTAGACAAGATCAAGAGAAAGCTATCATTTTTTCTCTCAATGGTCTGATAGTTATGCAACAGATACAGCTAACCACCTCCAGAAAACCTCAGCTGAGCTAGAGGAGCAAACATGGTTAGATAAGATCTAGAGAAAGCTATCATTTTTTCTCTCAATGGTCTAACAGTTATGCAAGAGATGGAGCTAACCCCTCCACAAACCCCAAGCAGAGCTAGAGCAGCAAAATCCATTCCTCAGTTTCTGATACAACGCCCCAGAAATGTTAACACTTAAACTGTCATTTTTCAGTTGATTGAGGAAATGACGTCCCGAATCCACAATGATGGTTAAATTAAGCATACACATGACATTCTATAATAATCATCTTGTGAAAAAAAAAAAAACTCAGTAACAGTTAAACTACCAGTTTTCAATTGATAGAGTAGATAATGTTCCAAATCCAGAATGATACCACTAATCATATACATGAAATTTTTTAAAAATCTTGTGAAAAGAAAAAAGCTATAGCAAAAACCAAAAAAAAAAAACACAACATATAGCATTGAATAAAACAAACCACTTGTATGAATAAAGTTACATGAAAAAAAAAAAATATATATATATATATATACACAATTTTGACAATAATATGAAAGTTGAATAAGATACTGACTGTTATATAACTCTCCTCCTTGAACTCCTGGCACACTCCTAGCAAAAGGGCATCCAGTTTTTGAAGGGTTCTTCCCAGCCAAACCTGTATGAAAATCAAAACCAGTTACAAGAATAGGGAAAAGTTGCTCAAGTATAACTGTCTGTCACCAATGTGAGCTTCAAGTCACAATAAAAGGCCAAGACATACAATCAAATGGCGAAATAATGAAGCATGAGAACGAAAAAAACAGGGAAACAGCAACAGTGAACTTGGATTTCTTGAAATATGCATTATAAATGTAAGACAGAAAACAAAATAAGACTAATTTGGTTTGAATGATAGATGCGTTTTTTGTTTAAGCCAAGAGAAAAATGTATTAAAATAAAAAATAATCACAAAAGCTTGATAAAGAATAGTAGTTGCATGTTTAATTCTAATTTATATTCACCTCAACCCCACGGCTCATCTCCTGTATTGCTGGAAGCTCTGAGAAACTATCTAATAGCTGTAAATACTCGGATAGGACTTGGAATGCCTGGGAGAAAAACACAATTTAGTGGAATTCTCTGACACAACAAACAAGAAAATAGACCACATTTTTCGCAGAGAAGGAAGGTTGGGAACTGAAGTCCATAACACAATAGGATACCACTAGCAAAAAAGATGCATTGACCAACCTTGCAGTAATTTCCTTCTTCAACCAGGGATTCAAGTGCCACTTGCATGTCCAATGCACGACGAAGCTCAGTTAATACTGCAAGCATATCCTGAAAATGGCAAAGGTGATTCATACCTATCAAATGCAGCTCCAAACATCGATATATTCTTGATTGAAAAAATAATCCAAAAAGATTGAAATGTTCAGATGTTATTACTAAGATATCCAGGAAGATGAGCATACCAGGAGTGTTTGTTTCCTTTTGGAATTAGTATTCACTACAAGATCCCTAGAAACCTCATTCATTGATGAAGTCAGGTGCCTTCTACCATTCTGCAAAACAAAATGATGGATATCCAGATCCAGAAAGAGAAGCAGTGGTGACAATAGCATCCTCAAAAACACACACCCACATCATGAATTTAGAAGGAAAAAAAAATAGATGCATTTCTTACAAGTATCCTTCTTGACTAAGGCCTTTTAATCATTAAGGAAAACACCGCAGGAATGCTTACCATGCAGATGACATTAGCAACCTTTAAATCTTTCTCTACTTCCCTCACCAAATTCATCCCCTTCACTGGCCAGAAGCAAGTATAAACATCTCATTCAAAAGAAGGACTACAAAGACTTTTTTCTATAATTAAAATTTTATAATTTCACTCCAAGCTTTCCTTACTTGATCAATATAAATGCATGGACAAGGGAAATTACTAAAATGACAAAACTTAACTACATTATATAAGTTAACGTCAAGGTACATGTACAACAGCATCACATCAACTCATAAAAGTGCCGAAAGCATTTAATGCACAAATGGGAAAGGAGGTTAGCAAAGATTAAGAATGCAAACCTTCTCAAGATAACTTTGAATTAGATATGTGACAATTAATAAATGTACATGCAAAACTTAATTTGATCAAAAGAAATATTAGCAAAATTTTCATGTCTAAATGAAATCTTATAACGCCTTACCCATTACTTCATGATGCTCCATGACATGAAGAGATAAACGCTCTGCTACTCTGTCTAGTTGAGCTAATCTAAGTGTGGCCTACAAAAAGAAGAATCCACATTGAATTGCAGTCAGCTAATTGCAGAAAAATATTTGAAAAAACAATTCTTTGAAAAGATAGTGCAACAACATATTCTATATGGTAGTTTAGACTGGTAATGAGCCTTAAACATGAACAAATAACTATGGCATCTGCAAGAGCGTGGAATTCTGTGAGTTTAAAAGAGACATGCACTGGCAGTACAAGAAAAAAATATAAGCCATAATAGTAACAAATAAAAGCATGAACTCCATAATCACACTCTCAACAACATTATACTTGCCCTCGAGTTGTATAAATCTATTTACAATGCACAAACACAAACACAAACTAAAGAAAGAATGATCATGGAAAACTCCTAACTAATGTCATGCTTGTGCAAGTTGAACACTCCTTAAATGCACATGCTTTCAACCACATTCTTTAAGGTACAGATCTAAGTATTGAAAATCACATTATTTATCACTATCACCCTAAAGATTTGAATGAGCTATAACTTTAGAGTATTTGCAGTACTTTAATTAACTGAACTGAAATTAGTTCAGTTCAATTTCAGTAGTTTACATGATGTGGAATAAGCAACCTAAAGCAGTGACAGTGGTTGCAGATGGAAGCGGTGACAGCAGTGTTGGTATCAAACTTAGCAAGAAAGCTGGCATTTACTAATATTGTCTGACTCCTTCATCACCATTTTGTCACCAGTTACCATCCCTATTATGACCACATTACGTCTTATTGTGGTGCCATCACTGAAACCACAATAATCAAGATGTCTTATGGCAATAGCATTGGCAATAATGGTAGCAGTGACAAGCATAGAAATAAATGTAGTTAAGTGCCAACTTCGGTAAGAATGGTGGTAGTAATTGATGGAAGTGGCTGCAAAGGAGAATAGGACTCAGATAAATATATCTCAATTGTTTGCAGGGATTTTTTTATTTTATTTTTTGGGGGTTATGGATTTTGAATTCCATGAGAAATGAAAGTCGAAAATATTTAAGGTGATGAATTCCCAGAAATTCTAAATTTGTGGCTGTTGTTTCCAATACTTACCCCAAATTAGGTTCCATGCACCACCAGAAATCAAACTAATGTGAAATCAACTAATACATTTAACATGGAATTGATTGTGGTTAGAATGCATGGCACAAGAAGCATCCAAAAAGCATAATAATGTGGCAAGGCATGCCTCTGGTATCATCCATTGAATGAACCGGTCCACTTTAGGTGCCCAAATACTAGAAATAATCCTCACGGAAATGCAGGCAATGTAATGGACATTATAATCACTATGAAATCATCATTATATTCTTAGTGAGCACCAACAAGAGCAACAAGCATAGGAAACTAGCTCAAGATAACCAAAGAACACTTATAATTTTAGGTTTGTTTATAAAGTAGGTCACATAATGTATGTGAGTTAGAATATCAATAAAAATAATGATAGGAAAATCCCAACAAATATTCACCAATCAGGTTTCAAGGCATATTATTTTCCCTGAAGAATAATGACTAATCATCAAAATTCAGTTATGGAAAATTACATAAATTTTGGGCCAAGCTAAACACCAAAGTTAACACATCATATTTTACACAGACAGTCTCGAATATTCCGTCTTTTAGACAAATAAAAGTAGAAGTAGATACTAGTTACAAAAGAATGTTAGAGAACTCCTCCAAACTTTCAAGAATCATCAGTAAATGGGCAAAAGAGTTAGTCTGCGTACTCCAACAGTATAAGCCCTTCCGTTTGCATATTTATGGGGTCCATGGATATTTATAATAAGCAAACCCCACGTATATGTGGTAGGAACATACTCAAAGAGTACCGGATATTTCTCTTCCATTTATGTAAGTGATGTATCCTTCACGAATTATCTAACATGGATATAACATGACAGACACAACATTGCCTGGTATAATTTACATGCAACTTTTAGGCCACTTTGTTTTTATACTGTTCATGATTTCATGATTGATTAAGACAATCATTTCTCTACATGTAGAACATACAATGATGACATTATAATCCTACATACCATCAGATAACACAAAAGAAAGACCATCCAATTACCATACAATATTCAGCCACATCCTGTGAATACATCCAAAGAGAGTAAAATATCAATGATATTTTGCTAGAAGTACCTGTTCCTCAAAATACGATAACTCATTTTCTTCAGATGGAACATGCTCTAGAATATGCCTAACTGGATCAAAATCCTGCACATGATGATGCCCAACAGCCTTTTAATAAATCAGCACAACATTAGCTCAATGCATGCTCAACCACCCATATTCTAAGAAACAGATATAAAATTGAAAAGTTCTGTAAGAGTGTAGAGGGCAAAAGAAATTTTTTTATAAACGAACACTATATCAACTAACTGAAAAGTACAGCAAAATCATGTTGTATGGTGACTCATCTTCCAAATCATGAAAGCAAAGAAAAGAAGAAAAATCATAAACAAGTAGCCTGAACCAGCTGAATATCATTATCAGTCAAGGAAATTCCCCCAAAAGTACCAAGCATGAAACTGAAAAGTAGAGAGAAAAGCTACACATCCCACAAGAATTTTCCCCAGGTGAACTGATTCTTAAAAGTTATAGCATTATCTCCAACCAAGTTCTGAATAAGACAGCAGAAATGGCACATTCCAAAAAAAGTCCTAAAAATCTTTCCTTTCCATAAAACCCACTCATCGTTCGAGACAAATACAAGAGTGGTGTCGTCCAAAAACATTATATGCTCAGAGTTACATATAATCCTTCTTAAGTTGCAGAATCAGCACCTACAAAGCAACTTGCCGAGAATATTAAGAAAACATCTTTTGTTCATTAATGTCAGCATGTGTAGCTTGGTGTTATGTAGGATTAAACAAAAGCATATATAGCATCGCCTCCTCAAATGGCTGTCTGCAAATAAGGAGCTGTCATAAAGACCATGCTATTCTCAACACAAGCAGTAGCGAGGTAATTTTATGGTAACACAAGTTTGGATAAATAATCCCAGTTTTGGCACCTTATTTAATATCTTCCTTCTTCCTTGCTAATAGAAAGGACTTGGTAGAACTGATCTATAAAGAGCATCACTTCTAGCTCTCAAAAGTACCCCTTTCCCCTGGGTTTCATGATATCAGAACCACTGTAACTAGCAATGACTGAGGCACGCATCTCTCTTGTGGCTAGACAATGAGTGATTCTGAGAGACTCCACTATATTTACACATACAAGGCTATGTCCACAAGATTATCTGTGGCCAAAAATACATAAATTAGCTCATTTCTCTCAATTCCTCAATTGGGAGCCTTTTTATATTTGTTTGGTTTATCCACCCACAATTTGATAAGTAACAGCCAACATCAAAGGCTACTCGATCAATTAAGAGGCTGCATCCTGGGTTTCATGATATCAGAACCACTGTAACTAGCAATGACTGAGGCACGCATCTCTCTTGTGGCTAGACAATGAGTGATTCTGAGAGACTCCGCTATATTTACACATACAAGGCTACTCGATCAATTAAGAGGCTGCATATTGTGCCAGTGCGTCCACGTTTTACCGTTATTATCTAATAGGTTTTTCTTTCTTGATGTTATCAGATATTGAAAGCAAAAGGTTCAGATCCTCTCCTCATCAGTATTATCAAAAGCCAACTTCACCATTAACCACTCATGTCTACAGATCTCAAATCAAGCCAACACAAACATCATAGCTATATATAAAACACTAAACCAATATCCAACTGGTTCAGGAGCAAATGACCATGAAATAATCATGGCATTTGAGGACCATGTTGATGGTGTCATATGGGAAACTTTTTTATCTCAAAAGGAGCTATCCAATCTTAAGATCCTTAAAATGACATCACCATTTGATTTGACAAATTGATTAACTCTACAGACATCTGCTAGTGGTGTGCGTGTGCGTGTGTGAAGAGAGAGAGAGAAGTGATTTTAAATCAGAAAGTTACTGCAGTCTACTCTGCTTAAAATACTCTGCAAGTTTGCTTTAAAAAGTGATAGACAAGGAAACGGAAAGAAGGCAAAAGATCAATGTGATTTTCAGTGGTTGGAGAAATGAGACATTTTGAGGCTTTGGAATTCAATTCTTTTGTGTGATGTTTTTCTAACTTTTCAATTCTTTAAGCAGTTTATTGGTGTAACGTGGATCTGCTAGAAGTGAAGTTGCCACTGCTGCAAGAAATTCACCTTTTTTTCTTCTGATTGTGCTTTTCTTAATGAAAGTCATTCAATTGTTTACTTTCAATTATCTTGCGACATTAGACTAGTAGAAAAGAGACAGATAAAGGTTAATGGAAAAATTCCAAAGGGAGTCAAAGGTTTGAGCATTTGATACCATGATTGATTAAACTCTCGCACAAATAAAAAAAAAAAATTGAACACATATCATGAAGATGCGGAGTAAAGTAGAAAAATAGCTAGTGACATTCTACCAATAATTCTTGCTACAAATAGACTAGCAGCATTTTCTGACAAATAAACCATGTTCATAAAAACAATATTGACATGCTACATAGAAACAGAAGAAAATCTAAAGCACATAGGAACCTCTTCATAGAAGTCTTCTTCCAGCTCCTCCACCATGTGACGTTGTGGTATGCTTCCATATATTGATCGTAGTTCTTCAGAACTTGAAGGAAGATTAAACCGCTGATGAGGAGGCATTCCTGCAAGCACGCGAGCAACAGCAGCTGCTGCTGCAGCTCGAGCTGGAACCTGAAAGGGAAATAAGAATCAAAATCTGCCTGTATGACTTGTATAACTTTAGCAATTTGAATGAAAGATCTCCTCATAAACAGTGAGGATAAGTTAATTCCAGAGACTGTTACTAAATTTGTTCCGTGAAAATTATAGTCTGTGTGAATTGTTCAAGGGATGTTGAGCCAATCACTCACAAGAGTAATATTTTTCAACCAGCTCAAGATTGAACCAAAGAAACCTCTTGCTGGTGCTGTGGCACTAAAACACAGAAACTGAACACATTCATGTTTCAGAGATTCAACTCTTGATAATATTTTCAATTACATTTTAGAATGAAAACGGAGTTTTCAATTGATAGAATATGATGAGAGCTACTGGATGGGCGTTTACATAATATGTTGAACTGTTTATGAAAATATTCAGAGTTTTTACCAATTTGCTGCCAGAGTTCCACAAGAAAGTTGGTTAAGGAGAAGTTGAAAGACAGGGAGAGAGCTAGAAAGAAATAGATCTTTACAAAACTCTACTAAAGAGAACCCATAAAGAAAAACAAGAAACCAATAAGCATAAAACGAATCTGTAAAACAAATAACCAGAGTATTATCAACAAATTATTGCTCCCAGTTCCAAAGATCTGAAGACTTTATATTAGGCTCCTTGAATTGGTCAGAATAGCTAGAGGAATTAAAGCAACCCTACTGCTGTAATCAGCACACAAGTGGGTACATCTCCATGTTCATACTTCAACTAAATATATAAGCGTCCAACCAATCCCCTTCATTGTAGATATGCTCCCACAGCATTGAAGTAAAAATGTATAAGTGCCAATCCATTCAGCTGCCCTTTTATTAAGGAAAACCCGACTGATGAACCTTTTTTAACGAGATTGTCAATAGTCAACATAATCCCACACACCAGTTCCTAAAAGAACAAAAAGAGAAGGGGGAAGAATCAACCTTAGAAGGAACAACTGCCTTCCAAATAGGTTCAACAAAAGATGGTTCTATCAACTCCAGCTTCCCCGTCAAAAATTTAAAAAAAAAAAAAAACTCCTCCAATAACAGCATGATTAATAAAACCCTTTCAAGACTATGTGCTTGTGTGGGAGTGTGGTAGATATTACTTTTCAAAGTGTTTTTCGTTTTAAAATGTTTTTCACTTGAAAATACATCAAAATAATATTTTTTTTATTTTTCAAAATTTATTTTTATATTAGCACATCAAAACGTTTCAAAAAGACAAAAAAAAATCAAAATTAAAAAGAATTCAAAAATTACCTCCAATAAAAGCAATCTTTCTTCAGGAATCTCCAATGCATCACAAAGCATATCAAGAAAAATAGCATTTATTCCAAATTTCAAGGCATTTCTAATAAACACTTTCCCACAAACAGCACTAACACCTTTAGAGTTAAATAAAGCATTCACATCCCTAACTAACAAGAAGACCTGAAAACTACTCCGATCCCTAACTAACAAGAAAACAGAAGAATAACTCCTCTACTAGCGACATGCCCCATCAAGAATCGAGCTAAAAGGAGTAACATTTCCACTACAAGCGGCACAAAATCTTTCAACCATTTCTGATAAATCTCTGTAACGCATACCATCACCCTTATTCACCTCATTCGAGTTCCAACCACCCAAAAAAAATATTTCGAAGTTCAAGAATTGCATTGCGTTGCTAGGATTCACAAATCACGATTAAATAAAAAATATATATAGAATTTAAGCTTTCCAAATAGAAATAATCAAAATAACAAATACAAAAGGCATCAATTTCAAAAACAAAACGGATACCTCAGGTCGATCAATAGTGAGAGGCAAGAGACCGAGAGATCTAGCAGAGCGAACAGAACTCAAAATCTTCTCACCAACTTTAGACAAATCCATTCCGCCGCTGCTTCCTCCTCCTCCTACTCCTTGTAACAATAAAAACGGAACCAAAAACAATAATCTGGAGCGCTCAAATCCAAAACCGACACCGTCTTCTCCTGAATCAGCATTTAACAGAAAAGGATTCCCGAATACGCTACCGATTGAGAACAGATTTGGCTGCATTTCAACTCCGAACTCTGAGATCTAACCTCACTACTGCTACTGCTACTGCAACAATACAACATTTTAATTAAACACTGTGTGTGTATTTATTTAATTTTATTCTTTCGATCGAGATCTGATAATTCCTTTTTTGGATCGGAGAATGTGAGTTTTCTTGGGAGTGAATTTGATTTCATGTTCTCTTTTTTTTCCTACTATTGTATTTTTTATAAGGTGTTATCACGTATTTATCTTTCGAAGACTTTTTCGTAGTGTTGGTACCTGGCTGACCTTTGAAAAATGTTATTAGTGTATATATAATTGTCACAGCGGTTATTTTACTCTTTAAATTGATTTTTATTTGTAAATATATAAAAAAAATATTTTTAACATTAATATATCAAAATAATATTAAAAAATAAAAATAATAATAATAATTTTTTTCAAAACCATTTTTCAAACCTAAAAACAAACACTCTTAATTTTTTTTCATAATTATATGTTGGAGTATGTTATTTAAAAGTATTTTTAATAGAAAATATATTAAAAAAACTTTTAAAAACATTATTTTTAACATTAAAATATTAAAACCATTAAAAAAATATAAATACTCTAACAAACTCTTCATCCATTAAAACTATTAAAACTATACATTGCATTACTAAACATAATTTAAGTATTTAAGTGGAAAGGTGCCATCATCAATATAAAAATAAAACTAATAAATTTAAATAAAAATATAAAAATAAAATCATAACTTAATTTTTTTAAAAAAAATATTCTAGTAATTCTAGAACATACTAGTTAAGTACATTTAAATAAAGGTATATCATACTTAAATGACTATAGAGAGCATAATATTATGCTTAAAAGACCACGGAAAGCACATTTATTGCACTTCTTTCAAGAAAATATTATCATGGTCAAATTTTATTTTATATATATTATTAATTATCTAAATTATTTTTTAATTTATCTATAAGTTATTTATTATTGATCTACCTTTGTTGATATTGCCATCAAACCTTGAATTAGGAATATCATAATTTAGTGATTATTTTTTGAGTTTTTAATAAAAAAACAAACATTACGTTACTCATTTTCTAAAACTAGAAAACTTATTGACTTAGTTCTTAAAATCAAGTTTAATCAAAACATTGTCAATTTAACAAGATTTTTTTAACTTTTTTTTAACTCGTTTTAAGATTAAAAAAACAAGTCTATGTCTCTTCCTAAAACTATGAGATTTGTTAACCTAACCATTTTAAAAAGCTTAAATGAAACTTTATGAAAACTCATTAAAGAGTTTTTAAATTTATTTTAGAATCAAAATAATCATGTTAAGTCTATTTCAGTCCCTAAAACTAGAAAACTCATTCATCTCACTATTTAAAAAGCTTAAATAAAACTTGACAATAACTCGATGAAAACTTGTTGATGTGTTTTTTAACTTATTTTAGAGTTAAAAAAATATGTGTTAAGTTTATGTAGATCCTTCAAACTAGAAGACTAGTCGACTTCATTTTATAAAAATTTTAAATAAAGAATATTAAAGGGGAAATCCAAAACACGAATTAAAAAGGAAAAATACATTAGGTCTCAACAAGACTCACATTATTTAAAATCATGGTATTATGTTGCATGTCAACAACTAGACACAACATCAAGTAAAATAAATTCGAAAGGACTGAAATAAAATATAAGACATGAAACGAAACATCTATTTTAAATAAGGCATAAGTTTTTACTTTAATGAAGATTATTGTTACTGTTGCAAAAATGGATATTGTTGTTTTTGAATATAGAGCCTTAAAATGACATAGTTTAGAGTTGGCCCTTCGTAAAAGTTTTTGATCTCATTCTTAGCTTTTCAAACTCATCCAAACTTGCTTTGTTCTGACTTTTATGACTTTGAATATAGGTTGAAAATTGAAACAAGATCTAGGTTGCAACAAAATTATGAATAGATCCGGACTTATCTGTTTATACCATGTTTTGAACTTTAAAATGGCAGAATTAAGTTTTGGATTCTTCATAAAAGTTTTAGGTCTATATTTTAACATTTTAACGAGATAGATAACATTTGAAGCCAAACATTTTAGCTTTACTTAGAACCTAAAAATCAAATAGTGTTTTAATTTGAATATACTAAATTACCTCTTCTAAATCAAACATCTCTTGATGTATACTATTTTTGCCTTAGGTTGACTCTCATATTAGGTTTTAAAATTATGGTTTTTATGGCTCAATTTTGAAGCAAACAATAAAGTGATGCAAAAGGATGTATTTTAGCTTGATTTGTGAGACGACTAAAAGATTGATGTCTTCTCCCAAGTGTAGGAATGTCGAAGTAATAAATAACCCGACAAGACTGGGATCGAACCATAGAAAGGTTAATTGTATAAATTATAAATCATAATAATACAACAACAACAACAATAGTAACAATAATAACAATAATAGTAGTAGTGGTGGTAGTAGTAATAGTAGTAGTGATAGTAATAGTAGTAGTAGTAGTAATAATAATAATAAAGAAGAAGAAGAAGTTAATGAGAACTTTGAGATA